TGGTTCAAATGCGGACAATGGTTCCCGTTCGATCGGTGCAGATTCACCATTATGTATATAAAAATACACCACACAATGTTCAGTAATGCACAACAAAATACACCACACACCATAAAAGTTTATCACACCACACCACACCTAATGGTGCATCTTCGAACACTTTGTGATACATTTATACGTGCCTAATGGTGAGTATCCGCATGGGAAGCTGACTAGGTACAACTTTAATTGTTAAATTAGGTATGTGCATTTTTAATTGGATATTTCGCTGTTGTTTGTTTGTGATTGTTTAAATTTTTATATTATAAACGTTTTTTTAAAACTCAGGATCGATCATGAAATTCACCAAATCAGCTATTAGTTCTGCACCCCTAGTTAGTGTGAATGAAATTTTTTAAGCAAAATACTACCATTCTGATATGAATTCTCCACAATTTTCTTCAATTGAGCCTCTAGAGACATCCGTAGGTCCAGCAGTCCAGTTGTTAGAGTATTTGTTGCCTTCTTGAGACGTTGGTTGGCCTTTGTTAATGTCGTAGATGAATGGGACAATATCTTTTTGGTTTTTTTGGAATAGTATTCGTATCACACGAAAGGAAAGATAGGTTGAAGCTTGGCGTCATGCACAATCACAGCACAAAACTCACGGCTTCAATAGAAACTCAATAAAACTCATGAGTTTAAAGTATAAGAATGAAATCACTCTTCATTGTTCATTTTTTTTTTCCAAAATACCAGGCTTTGAGAGATATATCTCTCTTAACGTGGCAAAAGAAAATGGCAAAAAAACTACCTTACAAGCTAGAGAAAAACAAGGGGGTTTGGCGTAACAAATCCCCATAATCCCTACATATTAGCATCATGATCCCTACATATTAGCATTTAAATATGGATGGTAGCTGACTAAGGAGATTAAATCTAATTAGCATCCTAGGCTGCTAACTATCATAATAAATGGGCTAAAGCCTAGGGTCTAAAGAAAATTTTAAAAAATGAAGACACGGCCCAAAATGATAATGATGAGATTATATCTCATTTGGGCTTAAACTGGCTAAGTATTATTTCTTCCATAACAATAGTAATGAGATTATATGTCATTTGGGCTTAAACTGGGCTAAGTTTTATTTCTTCCATAACATTCCCCTCACTCTTTTGAAATGATTCGTCCTCGAATCACACTTTCCTCGGTCAAATGGAAATGAATAAATTTCCCAACGTCTGAATTGAATCTCCTCATCAAATAATGCTAATGATACTAATTTTCCTTGTACTTGGCACATCACCACCACAAATGCATTTGACTTTGGATCTCTATTTGTCTTGCCTTCCAACCTATTGTCAACACATGTATCACATCCATATCCCTGCAATAAACTTGAAATAAAGGTTATTGTGTTTCTCAGTGTCTTCTCCATCTTTCCGTTGTTCACAAAGATCAAAACACAATTATTCATTCTCATTTTCAATATTTTTTTCATGCTTTTCTTCGTTTTTACTCAAACTCTCCTGCTCTTTGTTTACACACTCATCTCTTCAAACTTTTACATTATCACTCATTTCTTTTCAGCTCTCATCACATAACAAGGAAATAGTTGTCAAATGCTCAACCTTCTTTTGCTACAATCTTTCTTCAATTTGTTTGGCATGGTATAGCAAACTAAACAAACACTTGCACCCACAAGGAAGCAATTGTGCAATTTCTTTTCTAACACCATACATAAATCTATTCTTGGTAATTACAGCTGGTTCAATCACTCCATCTCGGATCATCAAGTCTCTTAACTTGTTGTAGAATTCTTCCACAATGAGTGATCCTTGTTGAAGTATATCTAACTCAAAAGACTCCATGGATAAAGTGAAACAATGGACAATAAACTAGAAAAACACTGGGAAAGGTAAACAAATCTGGACAAATTTTAAAGTAACGTTGAAGAATTTTCTGAAATTTTAAGGATGATAGTTTGAAACAATTTTTTTTTTTTTTTGTATCTTTTCTCTTTTGACTTTTGTAATGCAAAAAGAAAGAAAAATATATATAACAATCAATACACTTTTAACACTACTGAAACACAAAGCAATTTCTGGCAGCAAGTCACCAAAATCTGGATGTAACTTTAGAAAATTTCTGGGAAATATTGGCTAATGTTTTGGACTGGAAATTTTCATGGATTAAGGTATTATGAGTAAAAAATATCCAAAAAAATTTATGGAAAAGTAAGACACGAAAGTATTTTTTTTGGAATTTTCAATCTGACTGCGCAAGCTGGTAAACTTTTGGGCAGTGAGTATTAATCAAGCAACTGGTGTTAATTGGCAAAGAATTAATCAAGGAAATTTGATATAGAGACACTAAACTCATTAAGGATCATGTAAAAAAATCAAGCAATTGTTTTTGGGACCAGTTTGGGGAGCTAAACAGGGAACACACGAAACAAGAAAAATTCTGGAAACAATTGAATTAAGGATTGACTACTAACTGTAAGGGAAAATAAATTAGGGTATGATTTGAAACCTCTAGGACGTGAATAAGCCAAACTTGGCTTTGATACCAAATGATATGAATTCTCCACAATTTTCTTCAATTAAGCCTCTAGAGACGTCTGTAGGTTGCAGCAGTCCAGTTGTTAGAGTATTTGTTGCCTTCTTGAGACGTTGGCTAGCCTTTGTTAATGTCGTAGATGAATGGGACAGTATCTTTTTGGTTTTTTTGGAATAGTATTCGTATCACACGAAAGGAAAGATAGGTTGAAGCTTGGCGTCATGCACAATCGCAGCACAAAACTCACGACTTCAATAGAAACTCAATAAAACTCATGAGTTTAAAGTATAAGACTGAAATCACTCTTCATTGTTCATTTTTTTCCAAAATACCAGGCTTTGAGAGTTATATATCTCTCTTAACGTGGCAAAAGAAAATGGCAAAAAACTGCCTTACAAGCTAGAGAAAAATAAGGGGGTTTAACGTAACAAATCCCCATAATCCCTACATATTAGCATCATGATCCCTACCATTAGCATTTAAATATGGATGGTAGCTGACTAAGGAGATTAAATCTAATTAGCATCCTAGGCTGCTAACTATCATAATAAATGGGCTAAAGCCTAGGGTCTAAAGAAAATTTAAAAAAATGAAGACACGGCCCAAAATGATAATAATGAGATTATATCTCATTTGGACTTAAACTGGCTAAGTATTATTTCTTCCATAACAATAGTAATGAGATTATATGTCATTTGGGCTTAAACTGGGCTAAGTTTTATTTCTTCCATAACACATTTAGTATAATTACAACACCCTTTATTGTCTAGAAGTGACTAATAAGATATTTAGTATGTCACTTTTTAATTTCAGCTTTAGCAAAATCATTCAAATCCACACTTAACAAATTTACCCAAAATTCTCATCTCTACGCTCACCCCTGGGATCCAAAGAGCATAACACACACCAAGTTATTGAGAGTTTAACACAAATCAAATTGTTGAGAGTTTTGGATATGCAAAGAGCCAAAGAGCATAACATAGAGTATATTACAAACTAAGTTGTTGAGTATTCAAGGACGTGAATTTATACATGTATTATCGAATATATGACAAATCTTTTATAGGATGAAAGAAGTCTCTTAGTTTTAGTACGTGATATTTAATTTAATTTGCAGAATAAGAGAATTGGGCATATGATGCTTAGCAAGAAGAGAGAGATGAGCACTTGTAGCACACTGCACAGACTCTACTCTTCAAAGTGGCCGCCTGAGGTAGCCACTGCAACTATTTTTTAATTAAATTTGGACATGTTTAATTATAATTATAATGATAATAAATAAAAAAATAATTATAATATAATTTTTGTAAATGTATACGTCTACAAAAAATTTGAAGATAATTTGAATTGTTAGAAATTTTTTTTTTTAAAGATTGAGTAAGATGAGGTGGCAATTGTTATTGCTTAAAATATATAAATTATATTATTCTAAATTATAAAATATATTATTTTAACAAATAAAATATATTATTAAATACACTATCTTATCTAAAATTATTCTAATACATAAAATACATTATATAGCATTCTAACTCATAAAATATATTATTTTAACACATAAAGTACACTATTCTAACATATAAATTATATTATTCTAACTTATAAAAGTAAGTTAATAAACTACATTATCTTAGCTTAAAATTTTCATTATTATTCTAACTCATATAATAGTACTAGTAATTTTTTATGGAGGATGCACAAAAAATAAGTTCCCAATATTAGTACTTTATATTAAAATTTTAAATTTATTTAGATTTTAAATATTTAAATTATTGTAAATAATAATAGTGTAAAACATTTTTATAAATTTGATATTTATATTTTAGGAAATAACTAACAATAAATCCATTATATAACCAAGACTATGTGGTCTAATGGTACCCGGATTAGACTTCCATTTGGAAGGTTACGAGTTTGGTCAGGAACATTCATTATATAATGTGTATATTATTATTATTATTATATGGTAGATGCATGGTCAGGAACATTCATTATATAATGTGTATATTATTATTATTATTTAAGAAGATAAGAAAATATATGGTAGATGCATATGTATAATAACAATAATGAAAAAGATAACAGAAGTTATAACGAGTATGTTTGTCTAAAATATTGTAAAGTACAACTTTTATAACATAATATATATATAAAAAAAAAAAAAAAACCTAAACGGAAAAAACAGACATAAAATGAAGACTATAACCTTCATTCACACTTTGTTCTTAAATTTAGATATTATTTTAACTCGTAAAATACATTATCTTACCCAAAAATATTCATTAATTTAAACGGCAGAAATTATTTTTTTAACATCAAAACAATCAGATGATACTAGGGTTATGGCGTCAATTTCAGCATCGATCAAATTAAAAAACACTTCATTCAAAGCCAAATATGCAAATAAAGATTTCTATGAATTTAATATATATTAAAAAAACAAAAACCGTGTGCTTTTACATTTTGAATTTCAGAATCTCTCAATTTTATCGCCCTTGATTACAGGATTAGCCTTGGCGATGGCATCCCGTCCTTGACCCTTTAAGTCAAAGGTACAATCATGCTTCTCCGGGTACCTGTGGACCCGGCAGAAGGTACAACCGCATCTACACTTGAATTCCATAAGTCCCACCTTCTTCTTACAACTCCAGCACCTACTCGGTGCGGGCGGCGCCGCCGCCTCTCCACCGCTAACCGCCGGCTGAGACGGATTCGACGCCGAAGAACCGATTCCTACACGCAGATTAGCAGACGTATTCAGCGCGAGCTTGGCCAGCGCCTCTCGCTCTTCCTTCACGCGTAGATCTCGGTAGCACTTGGAGCACAGTCCCTTCATCGCCGCCGTGCCGAAGAAGCCACAGCCGTTCTCGCAGAGAGAGGACTGCGACGGCGGCAATCTGGTGCCGTAGTCCTTCCCGTCGGAACTCATATCCTCGATTTGTGTCGGTGTTGGCAAAGAGAGAATAAAGAGGCACATAAATCGATTGCGCAGAAAATTTGTAAGGATTTGGGGCTTGAAGCTGATATATATATGGGTGAGTTAGTCGGTCGTAGTGGAAGACTACTCCGAGTAGAATTACGGGGCGTTTGGTTGGAAGGAAGGAATTAGGGGGAAAAGGAATTGTAATTCGGTGGGAAAAAGAATAAAGTGAGAATTTAAATTACATTGTTTGGTAAGAAGGAATAAGGTGATGAGGAATTGAGAGGGAAGAAGTAAATAAATACTAAAATGGGCTTATATAATATTAATATAATAATGCTAATGAGGGTAAATTGGTAATTTATAATGAGATTGCAATTCCACAAAGCATGGAATTGCAATTCTTAGGGTGGAGACATGAATTGTAATTTAACAAAAGGAGGGAATTGCAATTCAACAGAATTGCAATTCCCTCCAACCAAACAATGTAATTTCAGCTTTCATTGAATTTCAATTCTTTTACAACCAAACTACATTGTACCAAACAGGCCATTAGTGTTGGATTCCTGATTTGACTACAATGCCCTTGTACTTCCAGTTTTAGGGATATTCTTATTTTTTATTCTTAATTTTTACTCCAACAGGATTACACACAAAATATTGATATAAACATTTGAATTGAGAGTCCACATTAAAAAAAAAAATAATAAAGTTTATAAGTATCTATCACATTAGAGAGAAAATTTGAAAATCTATGTAATAGTACTCAATTTTAGGTAACAACTAACAAAAACGTTAAGTCCAACACGGTTGTATTTGTCAAAATTTATTCAAAGAATTCCTCAATTTGTTTAATCCATCCAATTTTGTACAAGATTTTTTTTTTTTTTTTTTTTTTTTTTGGGTTTTGCTATTTGTACCACCCTCTAATCAAAAGTGGATGTAAAGTACATTGGAATTATAAAAATAGAAAAAAATTTAACAATCTTATAGGTGGTGTAAATAGCCATAGGGATGTTCATATTGCTATTTACACCACCTTGGTCAAGTATGATTTACGAGATTGTATTAACAAAATTTTTTATTAAAAATTTAATTAATTAAAATATTAAAAAAAAAAAAAAAAAAAAAAAAAAAACAACCCCTCGCCTTCTCCTTGAGAAGGCAGCCCAGTAGGTCGCCTTCTCACCGGGGAAGGAGACCCATTGGGTTGCCTTCTCACCGGAGAAGGTTTTAAGAGTATAGGAGCATAAGATGATGACACTTGGCATCATCTCCTCTTGCTTGCAATTATTTTTGTTATTTCTTTCTTCTCTGTAAGCAGCTTCTGTATATCTATATATAAACCTTCTATTTCCTCCTCTGAAAGCTAAAGACACAATATCCCTCTTCAACCCTTTTACCTCTGCTTCTTTGATGCTCCGCAACATGGTATCAGAGCAGTCAGATTAAGGAGCATCTTCAAGTCAAGCCCATGGAAACTGTGTGGCCTACGATCGGCAATCGTCCAAACGCATTTGAAAATCCAGCTGGAATTCCAGCTCCGACAGGGAATCCGACAAATGCAAACGCGGCGCCGTCCTCCTCCATAGCGGCGACCGAAGCAAACACCTCTGAGGTAACATTCAATCTGCAAAATCAATCGAGTCCCTACTTCTTACACATAAATGAAAATCCAGCCTTAGAGTTGGTTTCGTTCCCTTTGGATGGATCGAATTATCACACATGGGCTAAGGTCATGACTATAGCCCTGTCATGTAAGAATTAGGTGGCCTTCATTAATGGAGCAATTAAGAAACCCTCCACAGATGACCTAGAGAAGTATATGGCCTGGGAAAGGTGCAACAATATAGTTGCTTCTTGGATCGTTCGTTCTCTGTCTCCAACCATTGGACGTAGTGTGTTGTGGATTGATTCAGCTCATGGAATCTGCGAGGATCTAAGAAGAAGGTTTAGCAAACAAGATCTATTTAGGATTGCTGAAATAAAATGCGAAATCTACCAAACTAAGCAAGCATATTACTCATTCAATGAGTATTTCACTAGGCAAAAATTGTTGTGGGATGAGCTAAGCATTCTTAGGCCCATGATACACTGCTGTTGTGCCACTAGGTGTGATTGTGGTAAGAAGATTGACAACTTGAATGAGCAGTTTGAGATGGATAAGCTGTCCATCTTCTTGATTGGTTTACATGATAAATATACAAGAGCTAGAAATCAAATCATGCTCATGAGGCCCTTGCCGGATGTAAATGAGGCATACTCAATGATTGCACAACAAGAATGGCAGTTTGAGCTAGTTAATAGTGGATTTGCTAGTCAATTGTATCAAATAAGTGAAAGCAATGCCACAGGGAATGTGTTTATGGCCAAGACAGATGGCAATTCTCAGCAAGGGTTCAAGAAATACTCAGCCAACAAAAAACCTGTGTGCACATATTGTGGATACACAGAGCATACACATGACAAGTGCTACAAGAAGCATGGCTACCCGCCCGGTTGGAAGCCAAAATCAAGAAGTCAAGGATCTGCAAATCACACACAAGGTCCACCAGCAGTGCAACAGTCTGGCGGTGATGGGATGTCATTTACCCAAGATGACTTCAAAAGGTTTCTGGAATTCATGCAACTCAAGAGGTCAACCAATGAAAACCCACATGTTGATCAGCCTCCACAAGCTCTTGTCAACACCATATCTACTGACTTTCATAATGAAGATATGGTTCCTTCACTCAACTTTGTAAAGATTGGTAAAAATGAGTGGATTGTGGATAGTGGGGCTACTCACCATATAGTCTGTGACTTGGAGCTATTGAGAAATCAAAAGGAGGCCTATAACATGCATATTAATCTGCCTAATGGTCAGCAATATGATATTAGTTACACTGGATCAGTCTTCTTATCTGATGAGTTTGTCCTGCAAAATGTTCTATATGTACCTGGTTTCCATTATAACCTAATTTTAGTGGGAGCTTTCGTTAAGAATTCCAGTTGTGTCATCAAAATACATTCTGACCAATGTGTTATACAGGATGCCATCCATGGGAGAATGATTGGAAGAGCTAAGCTGGAAAATGACCTATACTACTTAGTTTTTCCTACTAGATCCTCTTTTGTATGCAATTCTATTTCAACTCTTAATAAATATAGTCTGTGGCGTGCTAGATTAGGACATGCCTCATATTCAAAGCTGCAGTCCTTGAAAGCTTTGGAACCTACAATTCAAATAAATAAAGAGCTAATATGTGACAATTGTCATTTTGCCAAACAAAGAAGAATTCATTTTAAGCATAGTACTTCTGTTTCTGTCAATTGTTTTGACTTACTACATGTTGACATATGTGGACCTTACAAAGTGGCTACTACTCATGGCCATCATTATTTTCTCACCATTCTAGATGATCATAGCAGAGCAGTTTGGGTATATCTGATGATAATGAAGTCTGAGGTCATGGGTATAATAACAGATTTTTGCAGTTTAGTAGAGAATCAGTTTGGCACTACTGTTAACTGTATAAGATCAGATAATGGATTAGAGTTCAACATGCTTGATTTTTTTGCTCAGAAGGGGATTATACATCAGACTTCGAGCATCTATACACCTCAGCAGAATAGTATAGTTGAGAGAAAGCATGGCAATCTGTTGTCAACTGCTAGAGCCCTCAGATTCCAAGCCAACCTGCCAGAACATTTTTGGGGTGAATGCGTTTTGCATGCTGCTTACATAATCAACAGGCTTCCGTCTACTGCCATCAATAGCCAAATCCCATACCAGGTTCTGATTAAGAAGGCACCACATGTAACACCCCACTTTTCTTAAACTTACTTAACAAGCTAAAACAAAAATTAAGATAAACTAAGCAGTAGAAAAGGAAACATAATTAACAAACTTAGTAGGAGTCTGACCGCCACAACCACCTTCCCACGGTGATTGCACAGGCTAAGGGTAAAACTAAACATCAAGTCAAACTAACATCCGAAATTTACTACATTAAAGTAACTTGGGGGAAAAATACCCTGGTGTCTATCACCAACAAAACACCATATGTCTACATCAAAATCTCAGAAACATCAATAATAGATCAAGAGTTTAGACTACATAGCAACTAACTACACTAGTCTAACTCGAGCACTCTCAAGAGCTGGGCCCACCTGAAAGGGGTTTTGTAAATAGACAAGTAGAAAACACCCGTTAGCACGAAGCTAAGTAAAACTCCACTCAACCCTGTAAAATACTACAGTATATACTTTAGAAAAACATTTGATCACATTCCCAAATTAAGCAATCTCAATCACTTAGACATAACCTTAACAGAAACCACAAAAGCTTTCTATATGCTCACAACCTAAAATATCAGATAGGCATACTTCAACGATATCAAACCTAACAACATGCTCATACTATCGCATACATAACATAGCAAATCTCAATCCTATATAACAACTCAACAACAATCTCATGCTAACCCATAAGCTTAACAAACAATCTCATGCAACAAGTTCTCAACATGCAATTAAGTGCAATCAAGTATCCAACATATAGTCTATCGTAAACATATCATGCAAACTCATGCAATCAAACATCAATAAGCAATCTAGTGCAAATATCCTTGATATGGCATCTCGTGCAAACCTTCTCGTTATGCAATCTAGAAATATCAAACATCCATATGCAACTAAGGCGATCATTCTCAATATACAATCATTGGTAATCATTCTCAATATGCAATCTAGTGCAAACATTCTCATTATGCAATCAGATGCTATAGAATAAATATACATATACTCTCGTTTGTAAATAGAATACTTTTTTGTGGAGGTTTCTTAGAGGCACAATGACTCGCTTGCTTTCATTTCTTAGAGTCGCGATGACTCGCTTTCTTAGAGTCGCCATGACTCGCTTTCTTAGAGTCGCAATGACTCGCTTTATTTACAAATGGATGAGGTAGGAACTTCACCGTAGCGTGAACGAACCTATCCCGGTATGGCCTTTAGCCGACCTATGCTCAATCTCATCCAATGAACCACTCTCTTGGTTCTATGCTCAACTCTGTGCAATCAGGTATCGAACTTTCAGCGTGCACACCCCCTGACCAGGGTTCCACGCCTAGCGGGCAGTTTC